TTGTTAGAATGATTGTTGTAAATTATTCCACGACCTTTAGCTTGATTGTGACCTTTGGGTCAATGGGGTCAAAGGTCAAGGTCATTTATCAAGGTCAAAGGTCAAGGTCATCCCCCCCAAAAAGGGAAGAGAGAGTGTAACTCGAGATTAATACTTGAGGCTGAATCTAGATAAAGGAAATGAATAGTTCTTTATTACCTTCTGAGAAAGGGTCAGGGTCAGAGGTCAAGGTCAATGTTAAATTTCAAGGTCAAAGGTCAAGGTCATTCGGATTTTAAGCTTAAATTGATCATTTCTCTAGTTTTCGAATGACCTTGACCTTTGACCTTGACCTACTTTTCAAGGTCAAAGGTCATAAGATCTCATGCACTTGGTCCCATATCTTTACCACTTTTCCTTTAAAAGTTTTTAATTTTTCTTGTCAGCTTTAAGACTTTCAGGGGCAATAACTCATTGAAGGAGTCACCGAATACTTTTGCAATGAATAGATTCCAGAGTCCCCTCAATTAATCCAAGACATTGGTGAAGGTTTCATACCTCTACGGTTTACGGTTTCAAAGGAGTAGCGATAACAAGCATTTCTTGTGAAAGGGGCAATAACTTCGAAAGTGGTCATAGTTCATACGCGTTGGGTCAAATTTGTTCCTAACTTTTAATGACCTTTACGCCGAACAAAAAGTTTCTTCGATAAATGTCGAAACAAAAAATCAGCGGAAGAAGAATAATAATAACTAGGAGACTTATTGTTCAAAGAACAATAAGAGGTCTTTCCACCTTTCGAATTTCAATTTCATTTAATATTTATCTATTTAAAATTAAATTTCATAAAAAAGAAACCAGGAATGGCTTAAAAGAAGAAAAAAAATGAAAATGAAATTTTTTTAGGTGACCTTGACCTTTGACCTTCAAGTCATATTCAAGGTCAAAGGTCAAGAGTCACATTGTAATTAACCCCATGTGTCTATGACTGATAGTTTTAAAGTTATAAGGTTGAATAGTAAGCACAAAATCATTTAAGGGCAGTAACTCTTTCAAGGAGTCACCAGATCCTTTTGCACTTGAACATAAACGTTTTGCCTAAAGTCCCATAAGACATTAGAGAAGGTTTCATGTCTTAGCGGGTTACGGTTTTGGAGAAATAGCAATAATAATGTTTTTCGCACAAGGGGCAATAACTTTTAATAGCGTCAATCTTAAGGGACAACAATGAAATCTTTATCACAGTTTTAAGAGTACATATTAATGATGCATAGACATTAAGCATATGTTGAAAGACAAAAGACATATAAAAAGAGCTTAATTTCTCAGTTTTGGAATGACCTTGACCTTTGACCTTTACATGAATTTTAAGCCCAAAGCTCAATGAATCTTATGCAGTTGGACTCATGTCTCTACACCTTCTCGTTTTGAAAATTTTGAATTATTTCTAAAATTCAAAGACTTTCAGGGGCAATAACTCATTGAAGGAGTCACGGAAGACTTTTGCAATGAATACATTCCAGAATCCTCTAAATTAGTCGAAGACTTTAGTGAAGGTTTCATATTTGTATGGTTTACGGTTTCAAAGTAGTAGCGATAACAAGGTTTTTCGCACAAAGGGCGATAACTTTTGTTAGGGTCAATCTTACGGAATACGAATAAAATCTTGTAAATAGTTTTAAGAGTACATATTATTTATGCTAAGACAGTTTGTATATGTTAAGAGACAAAAAAGATATAAAAAGAGCTTAATTTCTCAATTTTGGAATGACCTTGACCTTTGACCTTTACATGAGTTTTAAGCTCAAAGCTCAATGAATCTTATGCAGTTGGTCCCATGTCTCTACACCTTCTCGTTTTGAAAATTTTGAATTATTTCTAAAATTCAAAGACTTTCAGGGGCAATAACTCATTGAAGGAGTCACCGAAGACTTTCGCAATGAATACATTCCAGAATCCTCTAAAATAGTCGAAGACTTTAGTGAAAGTTTCATATTTCTACGGTTTACGGTTTCGAAGGAGTAGCGATAACAAGCATTTCTTGCGAAAGGGGCAATAACTTTGAAAGGGGTCAAAGATCAAACATGGGGGGTCGTTTTTCAGAATAACTTTTAATATCCAATGTCATAAACTATAAAGTTTTTTGATAAGTCTTGCGGTTTCAAAAGTCCGGGAAGAAAAATAATAATAACTAGATGTGAAACTCGTTGCGAGCAACGAGAGGTCTTCCGTCCCTTTCCGGAAAGAAAACTTAAAATTGAGCTGAAAAAGTAAAAAAAGATTTGCCCACAAGAGGGATTGAACACATTAGTCGCCATCATGAAATTCCAACACACTAAATATTACGCTATCGGGACCTCTACTCTAAATCTACTTGTATATATCTACAAAATAGTGCTTCTCTCTTAAAAAGAAAGGCGGGTCACTATTCAAAATATAGCGCCAAACGCCACGAGTTAAAAAAAAAAGAACGTTCTTATAGCGTAACATTCGAGGTTTAGAAAGTATATTTAACACATTTTACAAATTCCATATTGTTTTATATATGCATGTAACACTAAAGCGGTGAAACGGTTATGAATTTTAAACTTTTTTCAATTTCCTGTTTATCCCCAAAATGAACTATCCTGATTAGTTAATCAAAATAGGTTGAAACGTTTCGCCGAAAAATCTGGCTCGCCCTACGACGGTCAAGGAATCAGATATCATTTATGCTCAATAACTTGAATCAGGTCTTTGAGACAAGAATGCTTGAATAAACTCCATGAAGCGATCTTTTAAAAAAAATCGTTTTCTTATTTTTGTCTTATTCATTAGTTTAATATGACACAAGTGTGCATAGGAAAACAGTGGTTAAGATTTATACTTACAATATTCATTGATATTCTTTTTTGAGACAGTATAACTTATAAGTACGATTTAAGATCTGTTTTTCCGTGGTGCACAAAAGATATTAGGTATCGAATTTCATCTGCACATTTAGTCTTTTCTTTTTTTATTTTGAAAACCAGCCAAAACTAATTAAAGAAGACGTTAGCTTGACACAGAACTGCAACGTAACTACGACGTGACAATCCAAGTATTCCTTTACATTTCATTTATCCTTTTGTTACTTTCATTCAAGCAAACGCTCGGCTGCCTCCGAAAACCCCTATTGCGAAATGTCGACGTTGACTGAGACAGCCGCCATTTTGGACCCGCTTCAGATTTTTGAATGCTAATATCTAGAGTTTAGATTTATCAATATTCAAACAAATTATATAGTAAGCATTGTAGGGAGGGTTTCTATTAATATACCAAAAATATATGAGAAATATTGAAAAACAAAAAAGTTAGAAAATACAATTTTTTTTAAATTCGCATGCCGTAACGACCGGAAGAACTGACGACGCACAAAAAGGTGATTCTGCAAACCACAAAGTCACGAACTATCGTCTCCAATAAGTCTCCAGGTCATATCTTTAGCCTTTTACGATAAAAAGGGGCGACAAAATTGCATTTTAAAATCAGGAAATTGCCCATAACTTGGCACCAGAAGCGAATTTCCAAATTTCCTTAAAAATGTATCAAGTTCATTTTATTGCGCATAATTCCTGAAAATTTCATAAAAATCCGCCGAACAGTTGCTGAGAAATCGCGTGCACAAAATTTTGGGAAAAAAAATAAGAATAATAATAATAATAATAAGAAGAAACAGTAGAATAACTATAAGGTCTTCCGTGAAGACGGAAGACCTTAATAATAAACATAAGCATTTCAAGAGGTCTTTCCACAGAAAGGTGGAAAGACCTAATAAACAGAAGAAAATCAATAGGTCTTTCCACAGAAAGGTGGAAAGACCTAAAAATATCTTAGTTAAGCGTGTAACACGGGCCCTTCTCTGAATTTCAACAGTAGTTGGTACATGAAATTGGACTGGTTAAGACAGACAACTCGATAAGAGCAAGACCACTTTATCAAATGATGGTCTCCTATGTGCTTCTGTTTTTCGTCTAATTGAAGTTTATGTAAATCTGCAACTGAATATATGAAACAAAAATGTTCCCATAACACAGTTCATGTGTTATAACAATAAAATAAGAATAAAATCAAAACTTTAGTAATATTAATATGGCTTTAGTAATATTAAGCCATGAAATTGGAACCTACTTGAAGATACAAATTTTAAAAAATCTTATGTTACGTTGCGTTATTTACTTCCTGAATTTAATCGGTCAGAATAACAAGTTAAAAAGTAAAACCCCTACAACTTTTTATTTTGAAATATATTTATGCGAATCTGAGTTAACCTGGCATGTGACGTTGATATATTTTCAGGTATCAAGTGTGGAATGTCTAAGAATATTATTTAAAACACGGGTACTTGCTCCCGGATTTTAAAACCATATAAATTCAAAACATTATTTACCATCAAATACATACATTTATACTTTTACACTCCGGGAGCAAGCCCTTGTGATATTAAGTATCAATTCCATATATTCAAATTCAATGGGGAGATAATGCACATAATCAACAAATGATCTGTTCTAGTATTTCATGTATCGATTTAAAGCATTTCACATTCCACAAGCACAGTTTTCAATTTTATTATAATTTTTTTTGCGTGAGAAATGCATGCATAAATTTAGCATAATAATAATAAGAAGAAATGGATCTGTAGTTACATATGTAATTTCAAGCTTAAATTCTTCATGCAAAATAAAAAAAATACAACAATGATAAAATTAAATGAGTAGCGTTATGTTGAAGTCTGTTATGAAAATGGCTTTCTTTTAAGACAATCGTTAGAGTTACAAAAAACAAACGTATTTCTATCAAAAACCAACAATAGTTCATATGACTGGCAGAAATGCTTTTAACATTATATTCCTTAAAAACACATTCCCTCATACAGAGCGAATTGATACTACACATGGAGAATCAGGAAAATATGCATTATTTGATAGACATTTAGATGCAATTGGCCCACCCCTCTGCTTATAAAAAGGTAAATCATACACGTTTCATCCACAGTGACACTCTAGAAGGTTGAGAATATCAAATCTACAAATACGAGGTAAATAAAAAGGTAAGAAGCTCATTTAATGCCTACTTCAGAATTGAAAATTTATTTTCAAAAAAAAAAAAAAAAAAAAAAAAAAGAAAAATAAAATAAAATAAATTTTTGTTTTATTCCAATATTATATACACTGCACAGCACTTGAAATTAAATGTTTATTATATATTTTACTTTATTATCGTAAGGATTTTTGATAATCAGTGTAATCATAGTTCTCTACACATACGAGATAAAGCAGGAGAGGGAACCAGACTGGCCTGTTTGTTTACATTCAGCTGCGGTACCAGATTAATTCTGATTCTGACAAAATCGAACCGTGGTATTAGGATTGAAAAACTCACTGTCAGTGTCTTATCATTTATATTGATAGTTTTAAAATAATTTTTTCATCAGAATATAAACGTGATTCATGTAAGAAATTCATTCTACTCTGTAAATGAGCCCGGCTCTCTGTACTTCTGAATACTTTGATTAGATATTGCCTCGGGTAGTGGTTACCGGTATAATTATATCAGCTCATATAAATAAAAATCAATCATAAAAAAATCCATATAAGTTTTAGCTTTTCTTGATTTTAGAAAAAGATTTTAGAACTGATCAAAAGTGTTTCTGTTTGTCTGTTTTGTTTGTTTTAAAACCCAAGTGTTGAATTATTTCCCTTGATTCATCAGGTTTATGAAAACAGTGTTTTTCATGATTTCTTGTAAATCGAAAGTATTCGTCCACGACATCCGTACATTGGAAACCCACTAGCGCTGAGATGTCGCAAAGGACACATCGACTGGTTTGCCTCCAGAATTTGGAGGTGATGAAAATTACATCAACTTAACGTTTCAATTCGCAACATAGAGCATGTTTGATTTTTATCACAACACACTCTAAAATCACTTTAAAAAATTTAGGTTTAAGCTGAAAACTTAGATTATCATGTTTAATCTGAATATGCGTTTCTTTTTTTGGTGAGTATATTTTGGGGGAAATCTTGTGTAAAACATATGAGCCAAATTTTGTCAAGTGAGCGTCGTGGGTTATGGGCCTATTGACCTATTTTAAAATATAATTGCATATATCAAAAAAAAAAAAAAAAAAAAAAAAAAAAAAAAAAAACATGGAAAGCTCCACTGATATTGTTTGAGCATACACATAATTTCCTTTAAAAAAACCCAGACAATTCATTTTATTAATGTTTTTGTAAGCCAAAAAAATTAAACTAAACAAATAATTTTTATTACCGGTATATACTAACATTCCGTATGTCATTTTTTTCCCAGAAAAAATATCGTTTTCAAAATGGCAGCAAACAATGTACGGAAAGGACGAAACAGGAAAGCACCCGAACAAACTTTGGAGGAATTACTTCAGAATAATGGCCTCGACGATGCATACTGGGGACCATTGTTACGAGATGTTGGTATTACAAGTGAGAAACAATTAAAACACCTTGATGACAATTTTCTCAGAGAATTCTTTAAAAAGCATGAAAGGTACGAGTGGGAAGGGAACGCTCTAAAAGCTTGTTTACCACTGTCTGAAGAAGAAAAACAGAACATGATCGAGAAAAATGAAGCCAAGACAAAAGAACGACAGGAGATCATTGAGAAGAATGAAGGAAAGATAAACGATATACTAAAGAAACTTGATGATGTAACCGACGAAAAGGAAAGAATGGATAGAATGAGATTCGATTTCCAAAGTCCGACAGGACAGAAAGATCTGCACAAAGAGTTAACCAGAATGGAGTTTTTGCAAAACAAGCTTGTTGATCGGAAAATGCCGTCATGGACCGACCTAGTTACTAAAATATCTTCCAGTCGTGTACTGCGAGGATATTATATTCAGAAAAAACTCTGGGAACGTGTTCTTCCACGCAGACAAATAATCGATATCCCCGGGGATGTTGAAGTCCTTGCCCCTATATTGAAGGAAACATACTCAACTTTAGAGTTCTTTAGCGAAGAACAATCCCTTAGACATGATCATGTGGTAAATCACTGGGGATTTAACGCTGCTGCTAATGTTGGAGTAATGGGATTGTTTACTGCAGATATCGGAATTTCCCATAAAGAAACAGAGGATGAATCTAATGAGAAACAATATGAGGAAGGGTATACTGAGATCAAGACAACCAGTTACGTTCCTCTTGCGTCTTTCTCTCTGGAAAACGTGCATCACTCTATCTCAAAGAATGCCCTGACAGATCTTGTTGAGTTAGAAAAAAAACTTACCGATGAAAACCAGGCTGTTCTCTGTAGAGAATTCTTTGAAACCTATGGGACCCACTATTACGCAGGAACATATCATTTTGGCGGTCGCTACACCCTTCATGTCATCTGCAGAAGCAAAAAAGAAATGAGTCGTAGTGATTCGCTGAAACTCTCTAAATTTGCAATTCAAGGAGGTGTAGGGGGATTTTTTGCTGATCTGATGGGAGGTTTTCGGGTTGAGGGAGAATCAAGCAAAGACGAAAGCGTAAGCAAATACAGAGAACACGACGATTACCGAGTTGAAAAAAAGATTGTCAAGTGTGGAGGACCCGTGGAGGTAGATTCTGTTCCACAATGGAAGCTAGGACTTGCCGAATATCCGAGCACTTGGACCGTCATTGACCAAGACGTGTATAAGAATGAATGGAAAGGCGTCTGGGAACTTCTCACGGACGAGCATTCCTCAAGGTTCAAGGACATTAATTTGGTTCGTTTTGCCCTTGAATCGGAATGGGAAGTGGAATTTAAAGATAGGATGGAGATACTAAAATCAAAAATGGAAGAACAAAACAGCATATTTGAATAAAACTACACACATTCTTAAATATGATTTAAATAAGATTTCAGGTTTCCTGAAAACTTTTATTCTTCACCTCAAACCACGTCTACTACTACTAAATCTATATAGGTTGACATTAAAAAGGCAGACTTAACCTTCTATACTTAAGCTATTAAAATTATATATGATATAATATTATATAGTACCTAATTATATACAGATATGAAATACATTATGTTCTAAAATTATTTTTTAAAAATGTTTGCGAATTCAGAATTGATTTATTAATTGGACAAGTTACATGTAAAATATCAAGGACAGTACAAAATACGATTCTCACGACGTGGATCACACACCTGAGTAAAGGTCTAGACCTTGTTTTATTTTTTTTTATTAGATTAAAATGTTTCTGATCATTTACAAAGTATGAAACTTTCTTCTGATGCAAGGCTGCTCTAGACGACAAACAGCTCATCAAAGCGTTTCCTATCATGGATTAAAATCACGGGAGGGCAAGACCGGTTTTTGAATACTTTTTACAAAAAAAAAAAAAAAATACTTTTGCATAGATTTACAAAGTAAATCCCGGCCACTGTGTCAAGCACAAAAATTAAAATTCGTTTTAGGCTGCTATATTTTTAGCTCACCTGAGCCGAAGGTTCAAGTGAGCTTTTCTGATCAAAATTTGTTAGTCGTCTGTTGTCGTTGTCGTTGTAAACTTTTTACATTTTTATCTTCTTCTCAAGAACAACTGGATCAATTTCAACTAAACTTGCCACAAAGTATCCTTAGGTGAAGGGGATTCAAGTTTGTTCAAATGAAGGGCCATGCCCTCTACCAAGGAGACATAATTATGAATTTGAAAAAAATCATGGCATTTTTTAAAAATCTTCTCAAAAACCAGTGGCCCAGGAAAGATGAAACTCATGTTAAATCGTCCTCAGGTAGTGTAGATTCAAGTTTGTTCAGTTACGACCCCCGGGGGTAGGGTGGGGCCACAATGGCGGATCAAAATTTAACATAGGAATATAAAGAAAAAAATCTATTAAAATCTTCTTCTCAAAAACCATTGAGACAGGAAAGATGAATCTCATGTTAAATCATTCTCAGGTAGTGTAGATTCAAAGTTGTTCAACTCATGACCCAAGGGGGAAGGGTCGGACCACAATAGCCGATCAAAGTTTTACATAGGAATATAAAGGAAAAATCTTTCTAGTTCTTCTCATGAACCATTGAGACAGGAAAGATGATACTTATGTTGAATCATCCTCAGGTAATGTAGATTCAAATTTTGTTCAAATCATGACCCCCGGGGGTAGGGTAGGCCCACAATTGCCAAACAAAGTTTTACATCGGGAGGAAAAATCTTCTCAAGAACCATTGAGACAGGAAATATGAAACTTATGTTGAATCATCCTCAGGTGGTGTAGATTCAAGTTTGTTCACATCATGACTCCCGGGGATAGGGTGGGGCCACAATGGCCGATCAAAGTTTTAAATATGAATATAAAGGAAAAATCTTTTTATATCTTCTTCTCAAGAACCATTAAGACAGGAGAGATGAAACTCATATTGAATGATCCTCAGGTAGTGTAGATTCAATTTTTATCAAATCATGGCCCCCTGGGGTAAGGTGGGGCCACAATGGCCGATCAAAGTTTTACATAGAATATATAGGTGTAAAGATCCATTCCTTAACTTCTTATTTTTGTCAGTTTTATTCAAGCACTGAAATGTTCCTCAATAATATATTATTTTCCCCCAAGAATCTATTATTTAAGTATTGCTACTCGTTCTAGTTTCCTTTCCAAAACATGAGGTCCTTACAAAGCATTCGATTGAGGATTGGTGTATCCAGTACATGTATATGTATTTTTTTGATAATCTTTTGAATTGCCAAGATGACAGATGTTGTTGATCTTACTTTAAAAGACATAGGGAAACAAATTTATATCACAACATAATGACAATTATAAAAAAAAAGTTTTAGATCTTTTACGAAAATATGTACAAAACAAATATTCGAAGAAGGTGCCTCCAGGCCTGAAAATGGTCCTTTATTAAAGTTTTATGACTTACAAATGTACGTAACACCATCGACAATTGGTCTTTTTATTTAAATCTTATAAAACTATTTCATTTATTTTAGTTAGGTTTTTTCATGGTTAAACTTATGGATCAGGGGTCCTTGCATCATTATGCATTCATCGTTAATTGAAACTAGACATCCACCATGGGTTACTGCCTCATCTACTATATAGTTTTCCCCATTGTCTTCTCTTGCCAAAGATTCCATTTTTCACAGGTACCTATTCTACTTATGAAGGTGATCATGATGGGAATGTAAATTTACTCTAAAAAGGTTTCATTTTCTAAACGTTGTACAAAATCTACCAAAAGGTAGCATAAAGCTTCTACAGCTCCTTGTACTTAATAAGGTACATGCACAACATAGAACCGGTTAGATTCTCTAAACTTATAAATGTTGAAAGTAGATACCTCATTTATTGCACTTTTATAATTTACTAGAGACAAGACAGTAATGACGTTCCTTTTGAAGTCGGAATTAAAAGTTTTACGGTCGATACAGGGAACTTGTCAGCAATAACAATCTATCATTAAGTCAAATGCTGACTGATTTTTTCATACTGATTGCCAGACCATTACTCACACACAGTTTTTTCAATGGATTTTTTTTGTTTTTTTCACTGATCATGACAAAGGGTCAATGGTGAGTATGACTGGTCGACAGGGGTTACTCACTCTTCCCTGGCACCTGATTGCACTTCTGATGTTTTGGGAGGTTTACCCTTTATTGTTTAATTTGACTTTCAGGTTGAATACTGTTCGTTTTCGTTATATTTCAATCCCTTTCAAGGAATTCAACGAAACTAAATTCATGACTCGCTATACTTTGTATAGTCTACACACCATTGAGTATTATACTGTATTTCGCAAAATTCCTTGAATGAAACATATGGAGATAACAAACAGTATCCAAGATCAAAAGTCCATAAAATAATACAAAATAGGAGCAGAGGAAACACGAACCTCCACAACATCAGAGGTGGGATCAGGTTCTATGGAGGAAGGAGCATACCCTGTTGACCAGACACACCCGCCGTGTGTTCCTTGTCGTGATCGGGAAAAAATGGAAATTCATTGTATAAATAATGGACTCACAATTAGTATGAAAAACGTCAGTCACAATGAATGTGAAAGGACTCAAAGGTGATACATTCTAGAAATATTTTATAAAAGTTGGGAAAAAAATTGTTTTATAAAAATTACAAGGAGAGAGAATGGTCTGATTATACGTGTAATTCACCATTAGTTAATCTAAATCTTATTCAAAAACAAATACACTGGAGGAATAGAGGGAGATTCATACTCTGAAAAAATACTTGGTTTAATTGTGAATGATACATTTTGTAGGTTTGACATACGGCTATGCCAGTGCTGCTTAGTAAAGTCCATTTGTTCTTTACCTTCCTTGTATCCAGTAGCTAAACGTCCTCTGATGTATACCCTACCTTTAAATAAGTATTCTTATGCTAATTTTTCAGTAGAATCTTGTCGAAAAGATATATATAATAATGAAAAATCGAAATTAAATTGATCGGTAAGATGATACAGCATGCGTGCATGTATTACGAGATAAGAGCGTGTCATAAAACATCACACTTTATCAGTTATTCTATATAAACATCCTATTAATTTTAAGGCATAAAAATTGAAGCCGGGATAAAAGAAACGATGTAAGTAAATGATCTCTTTATTATTTGAAAAAATACCTTTTACTTTTGTAAGTTATTTTTTCTTCATTGAATTTTGATTTCGTTTCAACTGCATGTTTCTACAAAGGTGGATAAAACAATGAAAAATTGGATTTCTAGTTTTGTTGACATTGCTTAGATAAAGAATTCAAAGTGTTCGCTTATGCATATATGATCAATAAAAAAGTCTGAAAATATTTTGTTCTTTTGTTGCGGGGAACATTCTTAAAAGAATCCTTATTTCCGGAAAAAAGGAACGCACATCTATATAAAAAAGGACATACTTTGATCTAAGATGCTCTCTGCCTCAAGAATTCCATTTGAATAGGAATTTAGATTTTACCCTTTTATTTTTTTTCTTTCATTTTAAATATTAGCAGGAGAGTGATCTTTAAGGTCTGACAACATGTTCCGATATTATTTAAGAAATAAACAACGTTATTCAGTGAACATGGCGTTATGAATAGCAATTGCTCTGCTGGCATATTCCATGATGCGCGCTAGCGCATCATGGAAAATATGCCAGCAGAGCTATTGCTATATATATATATATATATATATATATATGAATAATATATATGTTTATATATATTATATTTGCAATCTTTGATATTTTTATATTAAGAGTATCAGAGGAAATCCTGACTTACATAAGGACGCAGCTTCTTGTCTTCAGTAAAGAAAAACATACGGCTTTAAAATCAGTAGATCTGATTAATGCTCCTTTCCTCTAATAAATCACAAACAATTTATAAAGTATTTCCTTCTCAAACACAGTTATCTGAATACAAGCAGCGCTGCCATCACATTTTTGTTTTGATGCAGATGTGACGTCATCTGATCAACGTTATTAAAACCCTCTGACAAAAATCACTATAATTTGAACAACACCGCTAATATTTTGAAAAATAAAATGCTTTTGTTAATGCAAATTTTTGCTCTTCTTAGAATGCAGTTTTGTCTAGTACACCTTATTTTTTTTTTAGGGTTTTTCTATTTATTTTTAATAGCTGAAATGAATTTTGAAAAAGATATACAATTTTTGATTTTAAAAAAAAAATTGTTTCTCTTCTCGTTTTCACTCATATTTATAAATAAGTGTGGAGAGTATAAAACTTTTTTACAATCAAATGTTTCTTTAAAACAGTGTGAACTAAATATGTCTATCAAATTTGCTATGTGACTTAAAGTCAATAAAAATAATATATGTTGAATTTCTCTAATATATTTTAAAAAGTTTTATTATATAATTAATTACATGTGTGTTGAAACCAAAATGCAAATTTCACAAATTTAGAATTTTTAAAGATATAAATCAGCAATTTTAAATATTCTGAATTTCCTTTTTTTGAAAAGACTGTTATATTATTAAATACAAGTTTAATTTTATAATTTCTATGCTGTATGTCATGGAGCTAATGAATTACATTTCATATATATACTATTAATTTTAAGGTAAAAAATTGAAGCCGAGATAAAAGAAACAATGACTTTACATGAAAAAATACCTATTGTAAAGACAAAGTTAAGATTGTTCTAGGTGGATAAAACAATGAAAATTGGATTTCTAGTTTTGTTGATAGATAAAGCAAATTGCACATATATGATCAATAAAAAAGTCTGAAAATATTTTGTTCTTTTTTTGCGGGGAAAAATCTTAAAAGAATCCTTATTTACTGAAAAAAGGAACGCACATCTATATAAAAAAGGACATACTTTGATCTAAGATGCTCTCTGCCTCAAGAATTCCATTTGATCAGGAGAGAGCAGGAGAGTGGATATGACAACAATATATATGTATAATCATACCCTCCCCCACAAAAAAGTTTATTGAAGCATTGCTACCTTAACATGTTTCTTCACACGAAAAATTGGGTATCTTTCCAAGCATTTGTGCAAAATGCCAGAGAGTGGTATTTTCCATATAATTTGTATCCTTTTGACGATCATTGGATTTGCCAGGGTCACAACTTTCATTGTTCTTATTTTTAAACACATTTTGAACAAAAAATAGAAATTACAAGAGAATGACAATTTTAAATCATTAGTATTATATAACGAAAATACAAAAATGATTATTAGAGGAGTTTGTCTTCAGACCTTAAGAATATCCTCTCGTCAGCCAGGAATGATAACTTTTTACATTGTTATTTTTTTTTTTATAAAGTTTGAAAATGATGCTTGAAATTGAA